AATATTTGCTTTGTACTAAAAAATAACTATTGCATTTATGATAAATTCATTATATTTTATCAATCAAACAAATAATTTATTTAATTGATATTAACAACAAGTCAAAACTAGTATACAGTCCTCATGTTTACATGATAAAAATATTTATATTTTTAAAAAAATCTCTGTTTTTTAAATTTTTAAACCCAACCAACCGTATCTCTGCACCTAAATAAATGCATCTTTAAAAGATAAAACTTTTGGTTTATTTATGTTTTGGTAACACACTTTTTGAAACAACGGAGAAACTAAAAGAAATGACAAAAGCCAAGATTCCATTTAAAGATTTAATAAATTTCTTCGTATTTTTCGAATGAACCTTGAGAACCCAAAAACATTATGGAGCACAAATGAATTCTTTTTAAAATGTATTTGTTCCTAGTTTACCTAATAATGTTTTACGTAAACACTTGTTAAGATATAAAAAGTCAACAATGCTTATAGTATTCAATTTTAAAATGATAACTATTCACTGATGTCCCATGAAAATTTGATCATAATAATACTAAGCAGCACACTACGTTATAGTTTAGGGATCACAGGCTAGAGAGTTTTTAATTATTCCTTGACATTATATTAATTTTGTTCAGACAATTTTTCTTCTGATGTTGAAAACAGCAATTTCAAACTAACACACTACCTACTAAGGAATCACGAAACCACGATTTGCTACGACAATTATCACAAGACACACCGTAATTTGCTCTTGTTTCAATTAGCAGTTAAGTTATAATTGTGATCTCAAAACAGCTGCCGCCACACAAAATGTCCAACACAAGTCAGTCGGTATCCAACATATTTAATTTTAATTAAATGCTTACGTAGTAAAATGTAGTCGATGACATATTATTAAACATTTAGTAAAGAACATCATGTGGGTCATGTATATAATTATAATCGTTTACGTAGTTACAACACTTATAACTTATAATAAATTACACAATGTGTGTCCGATTTTATTTCTACTTTATTCTCAATTCAATAAAACATATTAATTTAAGTACAATTGAAATTTTTAGGACACGTTATACAATAACCTAACCTAACGATCATTCTCCATTGCATTAGAGTCGTAAAACATAATACAATAACAAAAGAAATGTATGTGCCAACTATGTGATCTAAATACACAATATAACAAATCGTCTTTATGGTACCATCAACATACGTGGTTACTTTCGTACTTTTTTATTTTATTAATATAATTGAATAAGGTACGTGTTTTACGAACATTTTTATCGCTACTAATCGCAAATCCAGTATGATTTACGAGTAAAGTGTAACAATAACTTAAACAAATCTTATTTTGTTACTAAGATTTCAGGTAGACCATTGATTACTTATTTTCTAAATTAAATAACATGGCTTAATATTTAAAAACCTTCACTATGGATTTTTTTACTAAAATCTCAAAATCTCAAAATACCGTAAACTCAAATACTCATATTAGTAGAATTTTGGTAAAATACTATCAATACTACAAATCAAAAGTCAGTTTATTTTATTTTTAAATAGCCTACATTTAATTATACTGTATACACTGTTTATAACTTTGGTATTTTTGTAATTACATCTATTTATTTAAAACATCTATAACAGAAGACAATATTATTGATTTAAATTTTAAAAAAGTAGGCGGTAAACTTATCGACTCAGTGGCATGGTGAAAGCTATTTTTAAGGACTGTTCATGAATCTAAAGTCTTAAACCGATGAGTAGGCCATATGCGTAAGACGGTGGATCAGTGAGTTAGGTAATAAATTAATAAAAATGTATCACATTAAAATTACCGTACAATCTATAAAATATGTAGTAATGTAGGTTTTATGCAATTTTCAAATAAATGAAAGCAATTGAGTGCAACAGAGTTTTAAAACAGATTACGAAAAATAATTATTGTACTATTACTTTACTAGCTACAATTAAGTACAATTATTCAGACTATTCAAATACCTACATTCAGTTATTTATTAATAAATATAAACCCTATAATAATCCGATTGAAATAAGTAAAAAAATAAAACTAAAATAATTAGGTATTTATTTGAAAATAAAGATAAAGACAGTAGAAGGTTTAGATAATGGCTGACCCTCCTTACCCAAAACAAATGTTCTATGCGTCACTGTTTAAAGTGAGAAAGAGGGTGGTTAACTATTGATTATGACAGTTGATATTATTATATTATTGGTTTACAATAAATTATAGTTTATTCAACGACAATAGAAGTTAAAGAATAACACTACAAGAGTGTTTTCATACGAAACACTTTGTGGCTGACCACAAAAATCGTATCACCATACTCAAAAAATGTTTTATTAGAAACATTATTTGACATAAGACACTACACCATAATATACTTTTGCCCAGATTCACAACATACAAATGTGTACATTTTTTTTTCAGAGGCCTATTCAGTAGTATGTGATCTTTTAGTATAAAAATACTTAAATACATATACACTTTTGAATTAATATTTTTTAAATGAACGTAGATACGCAATTATTTTTACACTTTAATAATCTAAAAACAAAACAAATAAATTTAAAAACAAAAACTATTATGGCTATTGAATAATAGCCAGGCACAGAAATAAAAAAGAATATTTTCAAAATGTTTTCACAACCTTTTAAAATATCTGTCTAAGTTTTTTAATTACTTTTGTATGTTATTTGATTCATTTTTTGAATTATACGATGCTATAATATATAATACATACAAATAAAATACAAATATGTGTAAGTCGATAACTACGAGAAAATGATTAGCTGTAACATTAAAGTAAGTTCAATTTTTTATTTATACTATTAAAATACATAACTTACTCTAAAAATATTGCATTCATATAGTAACACTCCAATTTATAAAAAATTAACTTGAAATCCTGTATGATTTTTTAAATTAAAAAAGTAAAACAAATAAATACTCATAGGTATATAATGTTAGAATGGTAAAAACAAAATACAAAAAAATATATTAAAATAACTAGAAACCAACTAGAAATATATAATTGTATACTTAAAATGCATATAACCAAAATGTTTAACTCAAAATAAAAATTAAAAAATTAAAGATAAATAATTTTTTATAATAAACTTCTTTTACGATATTAAAAAGGCTAGTATATTAAGTTCTAAAATAATCCATATTTTAAATCCTTCTTTATTTTGTTCTTTAAAAAGTAAATTTCACTAACCTAACTCATTCAATTTCCTTTGTAACTCTTTCACTAAATCGTATAACATTCAATAATTTATTTTATTTGTCGGTAAATTATTTTATACGTTTATATGATAAAATAATAATAAATCGATTTGAAGTTATAAAACATTTTTAATACTTGAAAGTTAATCTAATAAAGATTAATACTCAATATAATATAGTACAAAAATATTATTTTTAAATTATTTATATAATTACATGAGAACAATTATAATATATGTATAATAATAATAATTTATAAAATATTTTTAAATTTAAGATAACTAGCATTAATATATACACATTATTAATAGAACTTAATTACGATACCAGGATTGGTGTATCTACATTGAATCATATTATTCAAGAAACTTAAGTTGCAATTTGGGATAATTTAAAAGTTATATGTACTTATGTCGGAGCCAACGAAAGAAAAATGGGTAGAAGTTACAAAACTCTAATCTATCATTAAAAATGTCCAAACTATATTGGTGCAATTGATGGTAAATATATCCGGGTAGTCAAACCAGCACATAGTGGTTCATTATATTATAATTGTTATAATTATTTTCTTAGCTATTTTTGACACAAACTTTTGTTTTATTACTGTAGATGTTAAGGGTTACGAAAAATAGCGATTTATCAATTTTAAAAAACTCGAATTTTTACAAAAAATTATTAAATAAGAACCATTTATCCTCAAAAATAAAAAGCAAGTGATTCTAAACTGACATATGTAATAGTGGTATAGGTGGAGCGTTTGGTTTATGACATAATGTGATGCGTCCATATACTAGTAAAGATTTATCATCAAATAAATAAATAAAGTATTCAACTATAAGCATTTAGGAGCTCGTCGATTTATTGAGTGTGATTTTGGTATTATGTCTAATAAATGGAAAATATTCCATAGGCCATTAAATATATGTATTATAAATGCATTTGTACCTACTATTAAATCATTTTTTTTCGTGTTCGTGATAGCAACTCATTAAGTTTGAAGACACGTTATCACATGAAAGGTTTTAAGATAAAGATGAATTCTGAAAAAACACCTTATGTCATTTGTGATAAATTTACTGATTATTTTATGGATAAAAGGAAAGTTCCTAGGCTATTAGATAACATAAATAAGTAAAACTAAAATTTATTTTAAGTGATTCTAATGACTGAAATTGTAGAATAAAAATAAATTTTAGTATATTATGTATATATTGTCAATTTGTTTTTTTATAAATAAATGCACCATTTAAGAAGTGTTGATATAATATATTATTTTATCGATTTATTACCATCGAGTGATATCCTTCACGGAATAATGTACATATTTCGATGGATTGTTTCGGTTTGATTGTTCAATTCGTTTAACTAGGACTTCCCGTATCTCACAATTTTACCCTTTTTTTTTTCAATTTTAATAATATAAATTTATCTGTATCGAAAATGAATAGTGTACTTACACAGTAACTACTAGGTACGAGTATAGACTAGCTTGCGGTAAGGTATTATGCGTTTACTAATATAACATTCACCGCGACGTCTGTGTCTCGTGAGTACGTTTTTATTTATAGCGACGTCGTCTCGTTATTTTCAGGTACAAGTAAGGCCAGCCGCAAAGTGTTTAGTCCGAAATCGATCTAAAAGAGTAAAAAAATCGAATTATGTGCGGAAACTTTATTCGATCCATCCGCCGACACGGAAATGATATTGTTTTATTATCGTCCGTGTTTAAACGTTGCGTTTTTTATTTTTTTCATTTCAGAAGCGGACGGGCACCACCCGCGGGACAGCGATCGCCGCTCAGTACGCGGCACGGCACCACCCGCACCGCCCGCAGAACCGGCGACAACACGACCGGACAGAACAGCACTCGCCGGCGGGTAAAGCACCACGCGCGATGTGACCGCCATTCGGTGGGTGGACGGCCACCATGGACCCGCAGATGTGGTGGTACGACACGGGATTTGTACCAGGAGGCGTGCAGTTAGCTGCAGTCGTCGGTAACGGCACGGGCGGCGGCGGTGTGGGTGTCGACGGTGACGGAAGCGTCGGCGGCGGCGGCGGCGGGGGGTGCAGCAATCATAGCAGCGGCGGCGGCGTCGGCGCAGTAGCGGCCGGTGCGGTCGGTTGCGCAATCGGACCGGACAACAAAACGTCGCACGCGGTGGCCGGAAACGGCGGGACGGCCGCTAGCGGCGGCGGCGTAGGCGGGACGGCGGACGACGTGGCCGGTGCCGTGGGCCCGGTGCTCATCATCAAGACGGTGGCCATGTGCTCGATAATACTGTGCGCGGTGCTCGGCAACGCGCTGGTGGTGATCAGCGTGGTGCGGCACCGGAAGCTCCGCATACTCACCAACTACTACGTCGTGTCGCTGGCGTTCGCCGACTTCCTGGTCGCGCTGTGCGCCATGTCTTTCAACGCCAGCGTCGAGATCACCGGCAAGTGGATGTTCGGGTACGTCATGTGCGACGTGTGGAACAGCCTGGACGTGTACTTCTCTACCGCGTCCATACTGCACCTGTGCTGCATAAGCGTAGACCGGTACTACGCCATCGTCAGCCCGCTTCAGTACCCGATCACCATGACACAGCGCACCGTACTTTACATGCTTCTCAACGTGTGGACACTGCCGGCGCTTATATCGTTCTTGCCGATATTCTTTGGATGGTACACCACCGACGAGCATCAGGCGTTCCGCCGCAAGAACCCGATGTCGTGCGTTTTCGTCGTCAACCGGTACTACGCCATCATATCGTCGTCAGTCTCGTTTTGGATACCCGGCGTCGTCATGATCGTCATGTATTACAGGTACGTGGTTGTCGTTGTTATGAAGTGAGTGGATACGGGTATACGCTCGGTACGGGCAATACAAGAGGAAGTCTTTATCGACGGCGACGATATCAGAAATAAGATAAAATGTGTTTTTGCGAGACAGGAAGGTGGTTGAGAGGTGAAACCGGAATTATTGAGCAGTGAGTGATAAAATAAAACTGAGGTGAGTGTACCTGTGGACAGTGATGCTGTGTTTGGAGTGGCTAGAGAAGATAGAATGAGAAATTAATAGATTTAGATAGTTCCGCGGACGCAACTATAGACATTTTAACAAGGGGGTATTTAAGTTCCAGATATCTTTTTAACTCAAAGAGACTTAACGCCATTTTTGCTTATATGCAATTCTACCGCTGTAACAAAACAAAAACCATAATTCCAAGTCCACACAGGACGATAAAATCAAACAAAACATAATCTCAACTTTTTCTTACGCAGATAGGGTAGTTCAAATTATTTTTATAAACAAAAATCATACTTAGTGCGAACTCAAAAGAAACTGTCACTTAAAAGTGGTTTTTTTAATTTATTCTATAAATAATAATTATCTCAGATATCTAATTTATAATACATTTCATTCAAATTATTTACCATAATATTAAATCCATACGATGGCATTTCTTTGAATACTCATCTAGTTTAATATCAATGTCAAGATTATCAATAATATCTCTTTTGATGCACTACAAGAAAAGATTACTGAAACTATCTTATGTCATAGATGTTCTTGTCATTTTTAATACGACACATGGCTGAAAAAGATATCCACATGAGTTAGACTAATAAATAGTATCAGGACTACTTTAAAAAAAAAATGGATATTAGAATACAGTTCTTTTTAATTTTTTCTAAACCAAAATTGGTTTGTTACTGTGTAGCACAGTAATTTTATAACACAGTTTTTTTTTTTTTTATTTATTAATATGAAACAACGCCAAATAAGATAATAAGAATTATAGATGTATTAAATACTTATTATATTGCATTTATATGTATTTATTAAATCAAATAACTTGAAAATAATAAATAAATATCATGCTTTTATTCATATTTAATTTTATGAAATTTTGCATTGAGTTTGCAAGCTTTAAATTCTCTTTTGAAAACTTTAACTCAAAATGTTTTATAATTGAACCCAATATAGCATAATATGCATAAGAACACCAATATTGTTTATTGTAGTTAGGTTCATTTATGTCAACGTCTTGGTTAGAGATATAATTTATTTTAGTGCCAGTTATAACGAAAATATGAAAACTTTTAAGTTCAATTAAGTTCTTTTTAGTGTAATTACACCTACACAAATTCAAAATTATAACTCAATGAATATCAAGTATATTTTTTTGCATTTCATAATATAATTATTTCTAGAAAATTAAAAAATTTGAATCATATTATATTACAATATTATACTAGGTAATTTTTTTTTTTACTAACCAGGTGTATTCAGTTAAATATAAATATTTATATTTTACTGAAAACTGTATCACATTATTATATAATAAATCAAACTATTTTTTCATTTCTCGTATTGTTAATTGATTTTATCACATAATTTATTTCAATAACAAAATTTCCAATTGCACTTTCTTGTTTTTGTAATTTCTTGCTCAAAATATTTATTATTTCTAAGATTTCTTCAAAAATGAACAAATACAATATAAATGACATTTTCTTTTGCATGTACAGAATATCTTTGAACAAATGTCTAAATGTATAGTGTTTATAATATTTGTATATTATACATAATATATTAATATAAAATACTTCTAATATATTAATATCTTCTTGAGTTACTTCTTTGTTTACATTTTTATTTATTTAATTTTGTAAAACATTTATTATTAAGCAAAAAGTATTATATACTGTTTTACAATTTTAAAAAAGAAACGACCATTGTGTTTCATATAATCTAGAAACCAATAATAATTTTATTTGTAGAGTTGGAACTACTATAGGGCAACCAGGGAAATATTCCGGAGCCCTAAGCAGAGAACAAAAAAGAATTTCATTTTAAAGCATTTTTATTGATTTTTTAAATTGAGGAAAAAAGTTTCCAGAATTTAAGTTTATAAACATTTATAAGATAATTTTCCATTAAAAATGTTGAAAAACAAATACTCAAAGTACTCATGATTACAAAAAAATTTTTTTGACTCGTTATGAATAAATATGATATATTTAATATATTTATAAATTTTAATTGAATTTTTTCTAAAGACCTGTACATTACAAATTATTGATAAAAAGGGCCCCATTTCAGTTCTGCCCCGGAGCCTCTTCAATCCAAATTCCTATCTTGTTTATTTGTATTGATTTCCACAAATGTTGTAATATTTTTTTTTTTTTTTTTTTTTTGTTAAGCAATAAAAAATGCACGTAGATTGTTTCTCAAACATTAAAAAAAGTATTTTATTTCCATAAATAATTATGAAAATTATTGGTACATATAATTTGTAACGTAATGTTAATAAAAATATAAAAAATATGGTTTAAATATAATTTGTAAATATAACTTAATAATTCTAAAAGTATTCTTATTGGTTCTTAAGTATTTTTTATAACCAAATTAAATTTATGGACCATACAATAAATGAAAATTAATTCAGAATTAGAATGATTTATTTTAGTTTTTAACACCAAATGTACATTCTAATATAGAATTTAGAGTATTACTTTGTTTCATCAAAAATAATGAAGTACATCCCAATATATTATTTCACTAACTATAGTATTAATTGTCATATTTCAACAAACTTCAAGTACGTAAAATATTTTAAATAATCCAACTAAAAATAGTTAATTTTTCTGTTGAAAAAAGTCTGAAACACTTTATTATTCTTGGCAAATATTATATAAAGCTCTTTAAAATTTTCGTTTGAAAAATAATTTATAATTATTTACAAACTATAATACTTATTGGTACTAAAATAAAATCATAATAACATAATAGAAAATAGATAGAAAACTGTCAATGACCTAACCTAACTAAATCAAATAGATTTAGTATTGTTCCATTTCTATTAAGAGATGTAACATAATAATGAATAAACACGATTATTTAGAACAGTAAGTTTACAAACGGCCACTTAAATACAAGATCTTACTGTTGTCTAACCTAAAAACCAACTAAATAACTACACACATATTAACAAAAAGCGCAATGAATACATATTTTGGTAATGTAATAAATCATGTTTAAGAAGAAAATCATTAGTTTACACAAGCATTACCAAAGGAAACAAATATAAAGGAAAGTAAACCAACAGAAAATGTAGAAGAAAGGCGTAATAATAAATTCAAAGCAAAAAAAGAAGATGAATAAATACAAATCTTAGTTAAAAATTATTTCATAAATAAAAATGGGGAACAATGAACAAAATGGCAACTAAAATAAATTAAATAATTTAAAGATTTATGAAATTATATAAAATTAAACGTATTTCATTGGAAATTAAATCAAATCGCTTCTTACATGCACCAGTCTTTATTTGAAATATATAAAATATATAAGATGTATGCTTAAAAGTATAGTCTAGGTTTTTTTAGATAGTTACCTTTTTGTAGCTTAATATGTTTTCCACGTTTTTATTTTATTATTTTTGTTTACATAACTTTTATGAGTAGGTACCTAGAATATAACAATAATAATAATAATAATAGTAATATTCTTGATTTAAAAATTATGTTTTATTTTTGTTTCGGAAACGGAAATAAGTTGTATGCATCAAATTTACAATAGAGAAATATCTTTGAATTATTACTCTTTATTTATTTGAATAAAATCCTGAAAACCAATAAAACGAGTAAATTTGATTTAATAATAATTAGTATAAACAATAATTTGAAAAAATTAGTTGGCTGGAATTCCGGATGGATTAGTTACGATATAGGTATATACTCATAGTTACATGAATAAATAATTTGAGCTTAATGTGACTCAATAATTTAAATATTAGTAAATTGTAGGTATGATATATATATACATAATATAAGTGTGCTTTAAATAAATAGTAAAAGTGTTTAAAATAGTAATTTTAAAATTAAACTGTTAAATTAAGATCTGGATCTAGATTTTTTTATGTAATTAAAAATTAAGGAATCTAAAACAAATAACAATTAATAACAATAATGAATTATAGTTTGGTGCTATAGAGCTAAAACTGCCGATCTACTATTGTTTTATATATATTTTTTTTAATAACTTATATATATCTTAAACATGAATTTATTTCTTTTGGGATATTTTTCATTTATATTTTTTTTCATAAATCTGTATTGTGTTAATTGTAAACTTTAAAATTAATTATACTAATAACTGTTACTATTACTACTATGAAACAGTTTTAAATAATATTATAAAATATCATAAATATATGATAACTCAGTTAAAAATTAACTATGCGTTCGAATACACTAATTATAGTCATTTAAGTAAGAACTAATACTTTTCAAATGATTTACGTTAAACTTAAAAACTTATCTACAGCACATTTTGCACTATTGATGATTTTAGTTTAAATATATTTTTTTTATAGTTTGATTTGATTTTAAAGCTAACAATTTGTAAAATATGGTAAGGTATATTTTTTTTTAAGCTTTAAGTTCAAACAATAACTACTATCACTAAAATTGTATATAATAACAAAAAAAAAAAAAAACGAACTCGTAGTCTGATATTATAATACATGTATTATAACAGGAACATATTTGTAGTATCTATAGTGTTTCGGACAACTTATTATCAACATACACTGGCCCAGCATCTTTAGAACTCAAATATTTTTTTGTTTAAAAATACATTATAAGCTATTTAGTTCATAACACGTACAATACATTATAATATACTTATATTACAATATTAGTTACAATATTGAAATCATTCCCATAATAGGATATTATAATAAAGTTAAATTTTAAATTTTAAAACGAAGATTGAGATATTTACAAAACAAACGCAAACATCAACAATATCTCTA